GGCATGGCGATGGCAGGGAGGAGGGACGGGGACGGGGAGGGCTCCGGGTGTCCCTGTGCCCCGTGCAGGATGGCCAGGACATGGTTCCCGGTGCCGCGTCCCCGAGCTGGGCTTGGTCCTGCTTTACGGCTGGTTGTTTTTCCTGGCATGTGCCGTGGTTTATTGCCTCTGTTATTGGCTTTTATTGTTGCTCCAGGTTTACACGCTGGCAGCTAATAAATGCCGGAGATAGATAGCGGCACGGCCTCGTAAAGCACCGGGGAGGACCGGGACATGGCAGCAGCGTTGGTGCTGTGCAGGCTCCAAGCCCGCCGGGACAGGCTGCCGTGCCTGGGGGGGCCACGACAAGGGGGAAACCCTTTTTTTGGGCTGGGGAGGCCCAGCCACGTGGCTCAGGCCGGTACAGGCTCACTCCAGGGACACCGGGGCTCGGCTGAGACTCCACGCAGGTACCACTGATGTCCCCAGGTCCCCGAGCTGCAGCCCCTGGAGCCCGGGGGTGCTGCGGGGCTCCCTGCGGTCGCAGGGTGGGGAAGCTTTGAGGTTACTGAGCAAAGCCTGGAGCACCCAACCTCCCCGAGCAGAGACAACAGCAGCTCATCTTCGCTGGGCTTTGCAGCTGCTCCCATTCCCCACCGGCTCCCAGCGCCTTGCGCTGACGCAACGAACCCATTCGTTGGGCGCAGCTGCAAAATAAGACGGGGAGACCCCCCCCATACCCCAGCCCTCCTCTCCATCCCCCCAGGCGTGATCTTCCCCTACCACCCGCGCCTGGGTCGCTACACCCTGAACTTCCACGAGGCGCAGCAGGCGTGCCTGGAGCAGGACGGCATCCTGGCCTCGCACGACCAGCTGCACCAGGCCTGGCTGGCGGGAGGGCATGGACTGGGGCAACGCCGGCTGGCTGGAGGACGGCTCGGTGCAGTACCCCATCTCCCGGCCGCGGGAGGAGTGCGGCCGCAAGGACACGCCGGTGGGGGTACGCAACTACGGCTATCGGCACAAGGAGAGCGAGCACTACGACGCCTTCTGCTTCACCTCCAACCTCAACGGTAACGGCGGAGGGGAAACTGAGGCGCAGAGCACCCAGGTCCC